CTCCCCTCTTTCCTTGTTCCCCTCTACTGTCACCCCAGTAGCTTCTTTCTGCTTCCACGTCCCATGTGTCCTTAAGCTCTCCCCTGAACTTTTCCAATAATACTTATGTATCAGTTTGACCGCTTCTTTGCATATCTGCAAATTATTTTATTCAATGACAGATCAAATAGAGGGAAAATCGCATAAAATTCAAAACTATAAGAAATAGAAAATTTATTGTTGTTTGTCAGGAATAAATGCATTGTTGTTTGGTTTCTAAGTAGGGGAAAATCACAATGAAATGAAATCTTCAAAGGTTTTATGAGACAAGTATTGTCCCACATATGCCCCATAGCTTAGGAACAAAGCAGAATTTAATCAGTTAAAGATGATGATGATGTCAGAGAATAGGGTTCCAGTAAAAGAGGAGAGCATAGATATGTGTGCATCTGTGTATATCCTTACATGTTTTAAAATATATTCATAAATTCTTATATATCCTTCAGTATATGTGGGTAAGTACAAACAAAGGAGAAAAAGGAGTCCTAATCACCCCCAAACATATATCTCCTTTCAGTCTTTCTGGGTTGACAATGTGTATCTGTTTATAAGCCACACTCAGATGTCTCTGATTATCACTGTGCAACTCTAGCAACCACTGGCTATCACGGGTTACTGATGGAGTGACTCCCCTGGGAACCACCGTAGGCTTATGAGTTAGGAAGTACACTGGTGAATAGTCTTCTAGGAGTGCTTTCCGGTCATTTTATATGAACTTTCCCCCATTCTTGAGTTCTTTATTTTGATTATTTCCTATTCATCCAATTTATCAGTTAGGATTGCTACAGAGGTGGCAAATTTATACAGTTGGATTTGCTGAATAATAGCCAAGCCATTCCCACCTTTCTGCTCTGGCATCCCTGGTGGGTGTCAAATCAGTTACTTATTTTCAGTGTGACCACAGTTTCTGACAGAAGCATCTTAGGTAAGAAAAGATTTAGTTTGCAGTTTCTGAGGATTTGGGCCACCATGCTAGTGAAAGTACACATGGCAGATACCCTACCTCATGGCAGCCAGGACCCAGAGAAGAGGAATGCTGTGTTCTGTTCCCTTTATCATTTTTTCCTGTCTAGACCCCAGGCTCTGGGATGGTCTAGAAAGCAAGGTCTATTTTCCCCCTTCAGTTAATCCTCTCTGCAAACACCTTTACAGACAAGCCTACAGGTGTGACACAATCTCCTACATGGTTCTAAGTTCAGTAGACACTGAAGATTAACTATCACAAACGACTTCCATCCTCCAGGCCATGCCATGATCCTCAATGGAAGCTGGCCTTTCGATGTATAGTCCCAGTGCATTGTAGGTAGTGAGGAAGGGCATGAGAAGAACCTTCAAAATAACTGCTCTGAGTCCCACCCAACAACTTTCACTATATCTCCTTGTACAGAGTTGAGTCACCCTGTAAAATGCATTTACCAGAAAAAGTACTCATTTAAATAAAAATAGAGTACAGCCGTTATTCAGAAAGATGCAGACAATCATCTAAAGTTCCTATTGGACTTTTATCTCCAATGTTTAATTGAAAATTTAACTGACATATGAAACACAAAAAGTACACATATTTTGGGCACCATATGATCGTTTGACATATGTATACATTATATGATTTCAAATGCAGTAAATATATGTATCTTCTCACACAGTTTTTCATTTCTGGTGAAAACATTCAAAATCTTTTCCTACAGTTTTTAGCTATGTTGTACATTTCACTATTTACAGTCATCCTACTATGGAAGAATATATCGACCTTCTGCCAAACTGTAACTAAGTACTTACCCATCAGCTTTTCCCCATCCCTCCTTCCTGCCACTCTCTTGATCTTCAGATAAAATCATCACCCTGCTCATAACTTCTATGTGCTTGTATTTTTTATAGTCTACATATGATTGAGGTCATGCAGTACTGACATGTTTCTATATGATGACATAGTATTGGTTAAAAAAAAAAAAAAAACAGACACACAGACCCATGGAATAGAGCAGAGAGCCAAAAAGCAAGCTCATGCACTTGCAGTCAACTGATTTTTTACAAAGGTGCTAAGGACACACAAAAAAGAAAGGGCAGTCTTTTCAATAGGGGTGCTGTGAAAAATTGGGCGAGATAAACCTTTGTTGCTCACTAGTTACAAAGATCAACCAATGGGATACAGATTTAAATGTAAGATCTGAAGCTAAAGAAAACATACGAAAAATGTTCCAGGAGACTGGAATGGGCAAGGAGATTTGAGCAGAACATTACAGAACACAGAAACACAACAGAACAGAACAAAAGCAAAAATAGTTAATAGAATTACATCAAATTGAAAAGCTTCTGTGGAGCAAAGGAAACAGCCATCACACTGAAGAGAAAACATTTGCAAACTAGACCTCTAGAAAGAGTTTAACATCTAGAATATATAAGGAACTAAATAGTGAAAACTAAATAGTGAAAACTGAATTTTAAAAATGGCCTATAGATATTTCTCGAAAAGAAGACACACATGTGGCCAACTCCTATATGAAAACATTCTCAGCATCACTAATCATCAGGGAAATGCAAATCAAAACCACCACATGAGATATTACCTGATTCCATTAAGAAGGAATGTTGTAAAAAATACAGAAGATACATGCTAATGAGGGTGTGGAGGAACACTTTCAGAGCAATAGCAATGTAAGTATATAATGTAATGTAATCACGATGGAAAATACTGATTGCTTCAAAAATGAGAAACAAAATCACTTGATGGAACAATCCTACTTCTGGAGAAATGCCTGCTGTGTCAACTTTCCTGGGGAGGCATGAACAGTTTAATCACCCCAGATGGGGCATTAACAGACCAAAGGAATGCCACCTATTTTAGGCAATCAAAGATTCTATTGGGGTTACTTACAGGAGCATGGGTGACTCAAAAGTCAACTTGCAGACCATGCCAACAAGGGAAGTCTCCTCCTCTCCAGCAGTTGTTCCCTGTCTATATAACATCGAGGAAGGGCATTGTGAATTTTGTAACTTTCTTAGCTTTCTGAGCCTTGTAAGTTTCATTAGCATTCTGAGTCTTATGAGCTCTCTTCTCCCTCAGGTGGGGGAATATTTCAATTTGAAGAAAATAGCTAAATAAGGATGTCCAAACAAAATAAAATCAGAATATGAAAAATATTTGTTAACCTATATTTATTTCAATACTACTCACAATAACCAGAAATACTGAAACAACCTAGGTGTCCCACTCCAATGAATGAATGAGGAAAATATGGTACATGTATATCAGAACGTCATTCATTCATAAAGGGATCATTATGTGGAAAAAAAAGTAGTTTTGAAAGCATGTTGTACAACCAGTTACTATCAAGCAAGACTCATTAACTTTCACAAGGATATACACGTGATATATACTTACACCACAAGGATATGGAAAAGAAAACACTTCAGTTACTCTCATAAATAAAAGGTGATTTGACTAAATGTATTGTTCTCAGAACTTTCTCTGTGTCACCATATTGTCATCACATTGTGTTTCACATAGACCCAAAGCCAGGCTGAACACCTCCTTCCTAATCACTCCCTTACATTGTGTTGGCCTTTGCCTTACTTTTCCTTCGCTGACTCTGTTAGCAGGACATTTGCTACTAGGCACAACTCATTTTGCATTGTTGTTCTCTGCTAGTATTTTATCTTATAAAGGTAAATGGCCAAAAAAAAAAAATGTTATAACACCTCAAGAAGTTTTGATAAACCTGTGACATTTTTCCATAAGGAATAAAATATTTCTCTGGATGGAAGAATCTCAAATACCTTTTGCAAAATTTGTAATTTGCCTTTATGCACTAAAGCTTGATACTAGGAATCACAAAAAGTAAATTATCTGAAAACCTGCTAAGTTACCTCTAAAATAGTGCCTACATGTAGGCATGCGCTGCTTTTTCTTTTGAAATGCCTTTGAGCAGAAGTAGAATTAAATTTTACCTGACAATTTAAGGAAATAACTTGTTGTCATATTGGGTATGTATAGCATACACAGAAAGGGCCACATGTTCCTTTTGTGTCTCTTAGACAATCTGAAGAGACCCTAGTGGCTCCAGTTCAATATGGGGCAACATCTTCAGAGACATGTGATTTACAAGTTCAGTCACAATACCAGAAGTGTCCCACCCAGATTCAGGTCATTTGTATGATCATGCTGCACTGAGTACCTATTTGCTGCATAAAAATCATCTCCAAATTCAGGGGCTTAAAACGTTAACCTCAGTCATCTCAGAGTGTGTAATTTGAGATTCTAGACATGTCTTAGCTGAGCTTCTCCCTTTAACATTCCTCTAAGCATTGGAACTCATCAGCTTATGGGCAAAACCAAGAAAAAAAAAACACTTTTCAAATTTGCCTCACGTGAAAACCAGTAAACCACTGTGATGCTCATTTTTTTAAAGCTGGAAAAACGCACAAGAGAAACTATTGAAATGAGAAAGATTTATTTTGGCTGATGTTTGGGAGCCTTCAGTCCATTGCTGTGGGTCTGTGTAAGGAAGAGCATCAGGGCGGGAGAATGAGATGGAACTCAGAGGGCTTCTCTCCTGACAGCCAGAAACTATGGACGTTTGCCTTTTATCTTTATTTCTTTATTGTATACGGTGAAAAATGGTCACTGTTGTCAGAAGACAGCATGACCAGCTGAAGAAACAATTGGAGGCAAAACTCTAGTGTTAAGGCTATACTCTTATGAAAATGTTTTGAATACATTGTCTTGAATTTTCAGAAAAACTAGCCTTGAAATATGGCACTTACCATATATTCCTGAGAGCAGAAAATCATTTCTAATTATTATTTACATAAGAACGATTGGTTTTAATTATGTAAAAATGAAAATCTTTGTACTCAGTAACCTAGAAGTAGCTATGTTAAATGTTTTACACAACTTGTGTGTTTGATACTGCACTATTTCCACTTAGAATAAATCTATTTCTCTGTCTTTCTTTGGGAAATAGACTAAGATGCTTAGTGAAGCAGCTGGAGAAAGGTGACGTCAACGTGGTCGATTTGAAGAAGAATATTGAATATGCAGCGTCGGTGCTGGAAGCGGTTTACATCGATGAAACGAGGTGCGTCTTACCCGCCTCCCTCTGTCTTTGCGGCTTCTCCCCTCTCTTTGTTCCCCCTTTTGACCCTCCTTTAACTTAAACAAAAATTTAGAGTATTTTAGTTTGAAAGAATAAAAATCATTAAAATTTTAAAGGTTCTTTCTCATATGTTTGATTAATTGTACTATGATTCTTTTAAAAAAAAGTTTATCTAAATGCTTAAATACAATAAAATAGGCAAACAGTAAATTACAAAATGAAAAGTAATTGCAGTCCCCACATGTCCGGCTTCACTGTCCTCGACTTTTAAATAGCTGAGACTTGTAAGCTTAAATTCGCTAATGTAAGAGTTTTTCCTATTATCTCAGATTTCAAAGCTCCTTATGAGAAAATGGGAGTCAGACACCCATGTAGTCCCATAACATGGATTCATCAGAGCCTCTGTAGAGGGCTTGCAGAGGGCTAGCCAAGTATCTGAACCTGGCTCCGTGGTTGGCAGTTTGGAGAGGTCTTGAAACTGGGATTGATTGATTGATTGATTGATTGATTGATTGATTGATTGATTGATTTACATTTTATTTATTATTTTTGTTTTATGTGTATGACTGCTATGCCTGCATATAAGTGCACCCACGTTGTTGTGCAATGCCCTCAGAGGCCAGAAGAGGCTGTTGGATCCCCTGGAACTGGAGTTATAGACAGTTGTTAGCTGCCATGTGGGTGCCGGGTCTTATGCAAGAACAGACAGTGTTCTTAACTGCTGAGCCATCTCTCCAGCCCTGAAACTGGGTTTTATTTAAAAAAGGATTTTAGCCCAGTGCTATGTCTGTCAGTCAAGAAACATGCCGTGCAAGGGTATTTGAGAAACTCAAGAGATTTGACTAGGATCTCCTGGTCTCGGAGAGTACAGAGACAGGTTACTGATTTTCATCTCAGAAAAGATAAGTGACAGGCAGATGGGATGTTCCTGTGAATACGGAGGCATGAGCACATGCAGAGGGAGAGGTTGACTTTTTAAGCCAATGGGGAGAAGGATGCAGAGGTTCCTTGAAGTACCAGAGTGCTGATATTAGATGGAGAAAAGAGAGGTATGCTACAGGGATTTTCATATAAGAACCAGGGTTCAATTGCACCAATTCACCCATAATTTTTGACAAAATAGGATTAGAGGTGCCCTCTTAGACTAGTGAGTTAACTCTAAAGGATGCATAAAAGATCCCAGAGAGAAAAAAAGAGTCAGCATCAGTACTTATTATGGAGATAGCACCTCAAACACCATCTAGTAAGATCTTTACCTATAATTCCTTGTCCAATCAACCACATCAATGAACCCACAGTAAGCAGATTGAGGGAAGACCTGGAGAGCATCACACCAGGCCTTGCCCCTACCTTTGGGTGTGCAGCTGGGTCAGTCCTGAGTTGGGGGAAGATCAGAAATGTTAAAGTGAAAGTGAGATGGAAGTGGTAATTTATCTTTGGGTATTGGATTTTACATACTTATTATTCAATAAGTAATAAATAGATATTGTTATCCATGATTGGGGTCCAGGCTGGGTGTTTCTACATTATTGGCCTCTTATTCAAAGAAATAAAATAAAGGTGCATGACTTATTTGCCTCAATATGACTCAAATAGAAAGGTTTCATGAAAGTCTTCCCTCCGCTGTAGACCCAGTGCACGCAGTTCCCCCTCTGAAACTTAGGTATTTTTCTAGTGAAATACTAATATTTTATTTTCTATTTTCCTTTCTCTTTTCATGGAAAATAAGTTAGAATACCCATTGTCTTTCATTTCTCACCTTTTTTTCCCACTAACAAAGGAAACTTGGAGATCTTGTATCCTGTCATGAACTTTTATATGCCTAACAATGAATTTTTTTTTCCTGAAATTGGCAAAACAAAAGCACAGTGATTGCTGTGCCATGGGTGATTCTTTCTTGGTCCACAGAATGTGTAATTACTTTTGTTTGATGTTGTAAATTAAAGGGAGGAAAAAAATTCATGGGTACTTTTTAAATTTAATTTTTTTCCTGAGTTGTTTTCATGGTTGATTTTCACTGAATAAAAAAAGATATGATTATTTTAAGTGGACAGAAACTCAAAGAGTACATTAAAATGCTTACTTTCCTACAGTTTCAAATACATGAACCTATTTGTCATTCTAACCACTACAGGTTCCTTACAACAAAAAGCAGCAGTTTCTAATACCACATTGTTTCCAATTTTTATTTAAATAGCAAAACGTTTTTCATTTATTTCTTTAGAGATGGGGTATCATGTAGCCCAGGCTGGCCTTAAATTCTCTATATAGCTGAGGATGGCCTTGAACTTCTGACACTCCATCCTCACCTCTCGAGTTCTAGGATTACAGGTTTATTCCTCCAGGTTTATTCCTCCAAATCTAGTTTATGTGGTTCCTGGGATTGAACCCAGGGCTTTGTGGATGCTAGGTGAGTGCTTTATAAACTGAGCTACATCCCTAGACCCTCACTCTTTTACTTAAATACTTCCATGGCATTTTATTTATTTATTTATTTATTTATTTATTTATTTATTTATTCATTCATTCATTCATTCATTCATTTTTTGTCTTTTTGAGACAGGATGGAGCCAGGCTGGCCTTGAACTCATGATCCTCCCGCCTCAGCCTCTCAAGTGCTGGGATTGCAGGAGTGCACCACCACATCCAACTCTCAAATTCTGACATCTTCTGCACAGATGGAAACACAGGCAGCAGGTGGGACAGAGTCTGAGAGCCACCCACTCAAGGATGAGGGCTGACAGGAGGCAAGAGTAGGCTCTGCCTGCGGTGGGGTGGGGGGCTCGACAAGGGCCCCTCAAACAGGAGCCACCCTGGGGTATTCCCACAGATCTCAGTATTGCAACTGAATACTGGTCTTCCAGAGCACAGATTTCAAATTTAAGTACCAGTCGAGGCCCTTGTGGTGGGGCGCAAGATGATTCAAGGGAGAGACAGGGGATTTGGCCTTCTCCAAACAGCAGTGGTATCAAGAGATGAGGGTAAAAATATTTTCCAGGGCCTTCCTCTTTTCCCTCCCCCCACCCTCTGTAGCACAGGCTGGCCTTGAACTCTGTATGTAGCTCAGGATGTAAGCAAAGAGCCAAGTGGTCATGGATTAACATCTCTGAAACTGTGAGCCAAAATAAACATTTTCTTCTTGAAATTGTTTTTCTCAGGTATTGTTCTGTATATTTTTTAGGGGGGGGGGCTTTTGAGACAGGGTCTCCCTGTAGCCCCAGCTGTCCTGGAACTCACTATGAGTGCTGGTATTAAAGGCATGTGCCACCATGCCCGGTTGGCATTTTATTTTTATTAGACTATTATTAAAGCCCCAAATTTATACCATTTCCAAAAGCTATTTCATTGGCTTACCACAATTTGATACAGTAATGATTTCTGAATTTTACTGAGCAGAGGCTCATTTAAATATCAAACACTAGGAGATAGAAATTATTATTACCATTTTGAATATAAGGAAAATGAATCATAGGAATGTTCTGTAGCTTACCCAAGAGAATAAACTGAAAATTGAGTTAGGAGTCTAAGCATTCTGACAGTAGAGTCTGATATCCTTGTGCTTTGAGTTACATTTGAAGGATAGGCATTTTAGGGGCCGGAGAGTTGCCTCAGTGTGAAAGAGCACTTACTGCCCAAACATGAAAACCTGAGCTCTGATTCCCAGCATCCTTAAAAAAAAAAGCCAGCATGGCTGGAGCACATGTAACCCCAGTGCTGGTTAGGGACTGAGACAGAAGGAATGTTGGGAATCGTTGACCATAACCCTAAGTGGGTGAGGCAGTGGGAGCAGAAAGGTCCAGGTTCAGTGTAAGATACTATCTCAAGAGAATAAGTTAGAAAGAGCTAGAGGAAGGCATCTGACTGCCTCCTCTGGCCTGTGAGTGAGCACGGACACATGGACCAGCCTATACTCTTGTATACACTCATATACCCCCACCCCCACATACATACACACACACACACACACACACAGATACTTTCAGACATTTTCTGATAGTTTTAGTGGACATTTAAGTGCTCATAGATTCTTAGACTCAATGTTCAGTAAATGATGTTGCCCCCCATCCCTTCCCAGTTCTGATCTTTTGTTAACACATATGCTGGCTTGAACTTGGCTGCAGTGGGATATTGCACCATGGAAAACATCAAATGCTAAACATTGGGATTTTGTTTTCCTTGAAGAGTCTCTGGCTAAACATTTGCAATCATACCACCGGTTAGACCTAAAATTGCATCTATAAAATCTTCCAATTTTATGCTTGAAATATCAACAACATATTTTAGAGCAAAAACGCTCAAAATAGTTTTATTTCCCATGTATTTTATAAGACGCAGAGACGTGAGCTGAGCTATTCTAGTTTCTTTTCAATTGCTGTGACAAAATATTCTGATGAATACCAACTTGGGGTGGAAAAGGTTTATTTTATTTTACATCTCCCAGGTGACAGTCTATCACTGAGGGAGCCCAAGGTAGGAACTCAGGGCAGGAACCCGGAAGCAGGAGCTGAAGCACAGGTGATGCTTACTGGCTTGCTACGCTGGCCCATGTTCAACCTGCTTTCCTATACTGGGCTGGGCCCTCCCACAACACTCAGTAATTAAGAAAATACCCCCCACAGACATGGCCACAGGCCAGTCCACTGGAGGCAATTCCTCACTTGAGGCTCTCTCTACCTAGGTATGTCAAGTTGACAAACACAGCTCCCCAGCACAGCTGCTGAGATGTGTTTGCAGTTCTTTAAGTGCCATTTGCCTTAGGAACTTTAGTAAAGCAGAGATTGCATAAAGGGGGAGGGCTCTAGCAGCCTGTCGACTTGACTTATATTTTAAAATTGTGAAAAATTTTAATGGAAATTCTTTCTAGATAAAAATTGATTCTGTGAATGTTCTATAGAGAGGTTGTTTGAAAGTTGGTTGGAGTGAAGGAAAGGCCAAAGCAGGGTAAAACAGAAATTTTTAATTAGTTATGCACAAACACAACA